TTACGGTTAATGCCAAACGTAGGCGGACCCCGTGAACAAAAACGGAGACTTGTGGCGAGTGTCGCCCACGCTAAAATGCTCTATGCAGCACAAGCGTGGGCCCCATCCCTGAGGAAAAAAAGATGTGTGACCATCTGTGAAAAAATACTGTCGGCGCAGAGATCGATAACAGCGCGTATCATCTCTGCATAAGACGGTATCTACGAGTTCTGTGCAGGTCCTTGCAAGTGTCCCGCTAGCAGATCTTTTGGCAAGGAAAAGGGAAGAAATGTTTCTCTTTTCTAAAGAAAGCAGTTTCTTGAATGTGGAATTAAGACAAAGCAAGGGTCTGATACGCAAAGAAGCGAGGCACAGGCTTATAGAAAGATGGCAAGAAAGATGGGATGGTGAGGAAAAAGGTCGATGGACTTATCGCCTTATCCCGGCACTCGACACCTGGATAAATAGGAAACACGGTCAGGTTTCCATTATTTGACTCAGGCGCTCACAGGTCACGGGTGTTTTAACTCGTATCTGTGTCGCTTTAAATTACGCGAGGACGAGGTGTGTGCATATTGACAGTTCCCTGAGGACAACGCGGAGCACACTCTCTTCTCATGCAAGAAATGGGACTTTGAGAGGCGGGCCATGTTCGAAGGTGTAAACAGTCAAGTTACACCGGAGAACATGGTATCGCTGATGACCCAGTCAGAAGAGAATTGGCGGCAAGTCGAGAACTTTATAATCTTGGTTATGTCGAGGAAAGATCTCGAAGGCCGCCAAAAAGCGTAATTTAATCAGCTTTTAATTTGTTTGTTCGTTTCTTATTAATTTATTTTGTGTTTTATCTGTCCTTATATTTTTTTTAATTTGTTTTATGTTTGTATTGGTTTTTATACAGTTTATGTTTAAATATTACATACGCGTTTATTTTTTTATTTTTTTATATATCCGTTTACAATTTTATGTTTTGACTTTTTACACTTAATTACACATTTGTTTTTTTATTATTGTTGTGCTGTTAATTCCGTTTTTATATTGAAATAGTTTTAAATTTTTATGTAACTATTAACGCAGGATAACCGCAGAGAAAAGCAGAAAGTCGAATTAGCGACAGAGTTGGAGTGCCACCCTCGAAGGCTATAGTCTTACGACAGTTCCGAGGAAGGGTAAAGGGCTCCAAAAGAAGGGTAGTAGTTAGAAGAAGAAGAAGAAGAAGGGTAGTAGGTCGCTAGTTTATTAAAATTATTATAATATTTATCTATCTTCATTTTATATTTCTTTCTTTTTTTCTTATTGTACCATCCCCACATAACCTTGGAGTGCGGAATCCAAGGTATCTGTAGGCCCCCTTTTATCCCAAAAGTCCCTTAGCAAAAAAAAAAATAATAATAATAATAATTTTTAAATAATATAAAAACTAGCTGTCGTACTGTCTTTGACGGGTTTTGGTTTCTACTAATATATTTGAAGAGGTGTGTGTTACGTACAAGGTACTTAACAGGTACTATTTTATTATTATTTTTCTTTTTAATAAAGCTACAAAAGATAGGACAGAATTTATAAAACATAAATTCCTATATATTTTATAATATTGTTTATAAGTTATATGCATAAATTTATAAACATTATTAATACTTAAAATTTTATATAATAAAAGAAACCTCTATTTGAAAATATTTAAAGGTAATGCATTTCACACATATGCATTGAGACGACCTATTTGTATACGTGCACACCCACTGATTCCGCTGGCTACAAGATCTAACACGTCCACACCCTTGAGTTCTTTGCGTTACGGGGACACATACAACCATGATACACATGCCTCTGCTCATTGCCTTGTCTCTCCTATTGTCTTTTCTTGTCTCTCCTTCCTTTTTCCCCTTTAGGCCTACAAACTTAAGGACTAGAATATCATAACAAATGCACATGCATTTGGAGGCTGACTCAACGCTTTATGAAGCGTATATATTTTATTCGTTTTATTCACTATTCCAATTTTACAGAAAATAATTTGATAATAGCTAAACATTTTATTGTAACTTATTGTTAACAATAAAATGCCACAGGACTGTAAGTTGCATGTATATGTGTATATGTATAATTATGAATGCAAAATACATATACTAGTAACTTATAAAATGTAGAACCAATATAACGTTATTTATACAACTTATATTAAACACTTATAACTATAAATAAATTATAGTTATAAATAAAAATTCTTTCTTTACAATATAGTTATAATTTATACTAGCGATAAATCCTCGCTCGCTAACGCTCGCTCGGTTGTAATGAAACGTATATATTTGTAATTTTTTTGTATATAAATATATCTATATAAATAAATGTATATGAGTGATTAAAATTAAAACGGATTTTCTTCCTAAGGAAATACCAACAATATTACTAATTCATATATGAATATTTTTTTAGTTAATTAATTTTCTTAATCATTTATTTTGATTAAATTTATAATTTTTATTCGAAATGTTTTTGAATATTTTAAGTATTTAATTAAGGGTGTAGTTAAAATCTCTTCTCCTCTCTTATATTATTCTTATATGAAATAAAATGTTTCTTTTGTTCACCAAATTTTCCGTTTAATGTACTTTGCAATGTGTACAGTAAAAGATTTTAGTAAACTAAAATCTTATTTAGACACAAAATCAAAAACAGGAACAAAAAACCGAAAATAATTTAAAACTGTTATTTTCTGCTTTATTAAAAGCTGCAAAAAAATTAGATTGAATGAATAAAACAAAATGAAAAAAATTAATTGCTTATTTATTTAAGTTATATTATTATTATTATTATATACTTATTATATAAGTCAGTATTTTATTTTACAAAAATATTTTCATTACGTATAGGTAATTTTAAAATTAAAATTTTGATGGTCCCATTTTATTAATATGTTGTTCGTAAGGTACAGAAATAGAAACATTAAAACATTTGTTTTTGTCAATATAATTGTTCATAAGTTTTATATTATTCATATTAGTATACAATGAAATAAAAAATTTTAATTGTATTATTCTTCTTTAAATTATTAGATTAAATATTACAAAATTATAATAATTTTAAAAAATTGTTTATTAAATAATTATAGAATGTATAAAAAATTCCACATGTTTAATATACGTATGACCAAAATAAAATTTGAAGTGTAATTTTAAAGATTTGATTTGTTTATCCAAATGGTACCCTGAACTAAAATTAAACACCATTAAAATAATTTTCTAGTATTATGAATGTTATTGTTTATTTCGTTAGTCTGTAAATAAATGTTTTTGCAGAAAAGTGTAGTCTTAATAAATTTAAAATTAAGTTTTATTTCAATTTTTTGTTACAATTATTTTTTTAAATAATTCTAAAGAAATTGACAAACAAGTCTTATTCAAATAATTATTACCTTATAGAACATATAATAGAAAAAAGAAAATTTTAATATACATATGTATATTGAATTTGAAAATAACGTCATTTTTCAATGTATTTGGGCAATTCTACGTGAGATTTCAGTCGACCTCTTAAAATCGGCCAAAAATATTTTTTTTCTATTCTGTATTGAAAAAAAACAGATACGTATTTTTTTTTTATTTTTTTGGAGGCCAAATTTTTGAGTTATGAATTTTCAAAATTTTCGCTTTTTAAATGTAGGTATATTTTTAATGTCAGATAACTAAAAAAATATTGCTTCTTTTCATTTTTTGACAAGAGAAAAAAAGTTTTGTTTTTCTCTCTACTTTTGAATAATCATAACAAAAATTTTTTTTTTCATTTTTTATTAAAAAAATAAAATAATTTTATAAACAAATTAATTTTTTTTAACTTTGGGTATGATAAATTTTTAATTTTCTTTTTTTAAAACATACCTGGAAATGATAAGAAGGTTTTGCAAAAAGTTTCAGAGTGGGCCTGACAAGTTTGATGGGTCCAAAAAAATAATTAAGCTGTCCGTGCAGGTCGCACGCACGTGGCACAATGGGATTTTTTTACAATTTATTATTAAAAATTGTTTAGAGCCTAAAAATTCAATAATAATCAAAATCCGATAAAATTTGTAGGCTCTAGACAATTTTTAATAATAAATTGTAAAAAAATCCCATTGTGCCACGTGCGTGCGACCTGCACGGACAGCTTAATTATTTTTTTGGACCCATCAAACTTGTCAGGCCCACTCTGAAACTTTTTGCAAAACCTTCTTATCATTTCCAGGTATGTTTTAAAAAAAGAAAATTAAAAATTTATCATACCCAAAGTTAAAAAAAATTAATTTGTTTATAAAATTATTTTATTTTTTTAATAAAAAATGAAAAAAAAAATTTTTGTTATGATTATTCAAAAGTAGAGAGAAAAACAAAACTTTTTTTTTCTTGTCAAAAAATGAAAAGAAGCAATATTTTTTGAGTTATCTGACATTAAAAATATACCTACATTTAAAAAGCGAAAATTTTGAAAATTCATAACTCAAAAATTTGGCCTCCAAAAAAATAATAAAAAAATACGTATCTGTTTTTTTTCAATACAGAATAGAAAAAAAATATTTTTGGCCGATTTTAAGAGGTCGACTGAAATCTCACGTGGAATTGCCCATTTATATATATTTATTATATTGCTATGCAATTGGCAATTAACTTTCTATATTGTCATGAATTTTTAATTAAAAAAAAAAATTTTATTGAAATTATAAGTGATGTAACTTATTTACTTAAGTTAGATAAATTAATTTTACTAACAAATTATTTTTGTTCTATCTGAAGCCTTATAAATTTTTAATTTTCAAAAAAAACGTTTAATCAAAATTTTAAGTAACGTTACTTATTTACTTAAGTTAGAACATAAATCAATCACATATCATCAAATTTAATTTTCTTTTTCTGCGCCTAATTGATTTTTGAAGCTGAAAAAAATTCATAATTATAATTTAAAAATTATTGATGTGAAGAATATAAAAATAGTTTATTTTTAATTTTTTTTAGTTCAATTTTAAAACAATTTAAGTAAAATTAATTTTAATGTCTATAGATTAATATGGACGTATACCTTAATATTTCTGCATTGTTCGTGTCATTGAAAATAGTTACAGTGTCTGATAAAACTGATAAATATTGGACATTCTGATATTCGTTTATTTTAGCCCCTTTAACTGTTATGATGGTATTTACAGCTACTTCGAAATTCACTGCTCTTTGTCCCCAGAAGACTAAATCAATCTAAAAATAATAATTAGTAGATAATTAATATTTATATATTATTTATAAGTAAATGCGATAATAAATTTACTATATTTCATTTTCTATTTATAGTTTTAAGATAAATAAGAAATTTTATATTTTTATATTAATAATAATAATAATTCTTACTGTATCTTTGTTTTTATCCTCGATTGTAACACTTCGTTTTGTAAATTTAGTTCCTGCTTTCGTGGTATTTTCAACAATTTCATGTATCGATCTTATAATTCCAAAAGTGTCTACGAAATATAATATTTTTTAAATTGAATTAAAAAATATACATTCATACATATATACACATATACTTACCCACTATTTTATTTGCATCCATCAAATTTATTTCTTTTATTGAAACAAAATTGAAATTATTTAGTGGTATTTCACTTTCTTTTGTTGAAGACTCAACTGTACTATTTTCACTGAGTTGAATTTCATAGTCATTGGGCAATTTGTTGTATTTCTTATTGGCTGGTAAGATGAAAACCTTTGAAAATCTGTATAACTTTCCAACCTGTTTAATATTAAAAATTATTATTGTAAATTTGTGTTATGTTATATTATTATTTTTTGTCATTTTTACTTTAATTAATACCTCTAAAATAGAAAAGAATTTTTCTACATTTTCGTTGAAAATGGTGCACTTTATTTCTCCAGATGTATCTAAAAAATTTGCCGTAAACAATTTTCCCGTGACAAAATTTTTAATTTCAGATTTATTTATTACTCGTGCTTCAAAGCTCCAACTGCAAGGAAAAAAATGAAAAAATAAATAAAAATTAATAAATAAAAAAATAATTTTAATTACTAAAAATATTTGATTAAATAATAATTTATATTATTAAAATATTAAAAATTCTTTACAGTTTTATATATTTAAATTATAAAACTACTCTATAAAAAAATTAAATTTTTTTAAAATAATAAAATCAAAAAAATATAGGAATATATATAATATATAGAAAAAAATGGTTTATTTTCTATATAAGAATATTCAATAGATTTTATTCTAACTCATTAAAAATTAAAAAATTTAATTAATGGAATAATTTATTAAAAAGAAAGGTACGCATTTGAGATAACCCCAAAGTTATAATAGAAGAAAAAATAAATAAAAATATTAGACAGTTATGCACATTTAATTTCTTATATCTAATTATTATATTTTTATTGATTGATTAATTCTTTATTATAAATTATAAAACTGAATATAAATTTAAAGATAGCAATTACTTACTTTTTTATGGTTTTTTCCATTTCCTCAAATGTTGTTAATGTTGAATTACTTGGTAACTCACAATTTGTTTTTAAACATTTATAAGCAATTTTTTCAGAATTAATATCATCCTATGTACTATTTTTTCTTTTTAGATTTTTTTTGCCTATTTTGATGCTTTCACTTTAAAACTGAAAGAAAATTTGTAAGTCCTGTTGGTTCTCATTATATTTTCTATTTAAGTGGGATATATAATAAACGTATTGTTGTTGACAATATGAATCATCAATCTAGTCTCTCTTGTGTACAATTATTACAGAATATATAAAATTTAGTAATGAATAAAATTAACAAAGTATTAGATTAATTTTGTTTTCAGAATAATTCTGATTTCTAATATTTAATTTAAAAATTTTCCGTTTTTAAAAATTCCAAGTATGAAATACTAAGACTGCAAAAAGTCGTTATTGGGCCATTATTTGTGTTTTATATATTATTCTATTTATCATTTTACTATTAATTTATTATTGTTTTATTTATTATTCTTTTTTGGAGTGTGAATGAATTTACTAAGAAATATTTTATTTAATTAAAAAAAAAATTTTATTTAAAATCAATGTTTATCTTATATGCTCCATTTGTATATAAATTAAATTTTTACTAAGTACTGTAATTCAAAAATAATAATTATTAAGTAAGTAGTTTATTTAATATTGTATCATTTCTTTATCAACTTGAAGGAATTAAAATGATGACCTATTTCCTCTTTGGAAATTATTTGTAATAATTAAGTAAAGAAATAATAATTTCAGTGTATGTATTTTAGTTTTATTTGTTATCAAACTTGATCATTATAAACATCATAATTGTAAATCAAGGTTATGAAATTAATGTACTTTCATGTAAACAATCAAGTTCTTTGACACTATATTGAATAATATTGATATTTAATCATATACTATAATGTGAATTGTGTCATTACTTAACTATCAACTGAAGAGTTACAATGTCTCATAGATATTGTCCATTGGGTAAGTTATAAATTTGATTATGTTTTGATATTTAATAATAATTTTAAATTTTATACCATGTACATTGCAATTTATCAATTGTATATGTTACCGGCAAAACCCGAAGTCCAGGCAAAACCCGAATTGCCTAGGGAAATCGGGTTTTACCTAGGCAATTCGGGTTTGGCCTATGAATCTCTAGGAAATTCGGGTATTTCCTAAAATCATAGGCAAATCCCGAATTGCCTAGGCAATTCGGGTTTTGCCTGGACTTCGGGTTTTGCCGATAACATATATAATAAAATTAATTTATTTTAACTAAATTTAACATAACTATATAATAAATTATCTTTTATTAGATGACAGTCATAAATCTACGACAAATACACGTTATTTTTATAACAAAAATTATAATCAAAATTTGATTAACCCATGTTTCAAAAACATGACCATTCAAAATGAAGTTGGAGATGGGCACCACGATGACAGACATGTGAATGAAATTATTTCTGATGATAATAATACTTGTAAGTAAAAGATTTTTTTTGTTTAATTAATACTATTTTTAATTTAATATAAATGTTAATCGTTAATTCAAAGTTTCATTTATATACAAAATAGATTTCGAATCAAATTGAGCATACTATTTTTTTATATAATATTCAGATAAATTCCTAATTTTAAAGATATTTGAATATGGGTAATTTTCAAAATAAATTAAAATATAATTTTTAAATTATATTTAATGTAATGAGAATTTTTTGTGAATTTATTAATTTATTTTTAACACCCTTTTCATATTTAATAGGTGTTCTAGTTTTGTTTCTAATTATTGTCTTATCATATGTAATCCTCATATTAATTTATAGTTAAGTTAAAAGTGTAAATTATTAGAAAATATGAAGTTAATATTTAAAGGGAAAATATTTTTATCGTTTTTTTGACACATTAAATTAAAAGTTGTAAATAATTAATTACCATTGCAGATGGAGATGGGCACAATGACAGACATGTGAATGAAATTATTTCCGATGACAAAAGCTTTAGAATAGTTGTAAAGTTAAAAAATTGAAATTTCAAAAAAAAAAAAAATTTTTTGGGTTATTTCACGTTAACCGGTTTATTTTTTGACAGAGTACTTGCCCAATGTCAAATAAATCATTTTTAAACAAATTAACCCAAAAAAACGAAAAATAAAAAAAAAATTTTTAACAACATGTAAAAATATACATTTAACTTTTCGCCCCACCCATTATTTAACTTTTCGCCCCAGGGTGCGTTTTTGGCTTTAACAATAAATATAAAAAATCTGACTAAAGATATTTGGCAAATACCTTTAGGTATCTCTTCAGGGGACCCAAATAAGGATCTAAAAAAATCGCGATGAGAATAAATTCAAAAAATATACTTAAAAGTTGATATTTTCTTTTTCGAAAAAATTTTCAAAAGTAGGTTAAAATAAAACTTTCAATATAGACACCACAAAAATGAACAGAATTGCACACAACTCCGGACATTTATTTAGGGTGATAACACCCTTCTATAATTAAAATTGCAATGCTCTAACTATTTTCGTTCGAAAGATAATGAATTTTAACGGTTTTGTCAGTTTAACTTTTCGCCCCAGTCTCCCCTATTATAATATATATATATATATATATATATTTTTTAGTGATGCCGAACGACCAAACGATGAAGTACGGAATTACACGAACGACAAACGACGAAACGACAGCGAATATCTTAATATTATAGGAGATATTTAGTTATAAAAATTGTTTCTGATAAGTATCAAATTAACAACGCCGTTTCCGTTCTCACGAAAACTGCATGCAATCAGAAACGTCAGCATAATGCAAAGTCCAATGAGCCTGAAGAATTTCCCTACTTCTAATTCTAAAAATCCTTAGTTGACAAATTTACCCCACTTTGACATCAGGACAAGGAGTAGAGGCTTGTCGCAAAATTTCTATCGCCGCTGTACAATTTTCCTCTTCAAGCGATCAACACCTGTCCCGGCTACAGCCTGGCAGATCTGTTGATCGCAAGAAAGTAGGAAATGCCGAGACTAAGCCCGTCTGCCGTCGGACCCCCGTATAGAACTCAGCGAAAAAACTAGTATAATACAAAAGGCGGACGAAAAAATGTAATAGAATCTTCTAACCGACGAAGTCCAGTGAGAGCTGTTTTGAGTGAGATTCCAATTAATTAAATATTTAACGATTGTGAACCTTGTTTCTTAACCGGCCAGTCCGTACGTGTAGTACCTGCGCCGTCTCAATGCAGTGGCCCCACAAAATTCGCGAGTTCGCCTAAATGAAAATTGGTCGCATAGACGACTTGATTTTCGACATTCAACTTGTGTTTTGCCCGATGGAGGATCCCTGTTTCTCGACCGGCAAGTCCGTACGCGTAGTACCTGCGCCGTATAAGAGAAATTATGCCCTGTCGGTAGGATTAAGGATTTTAGCGGTAAGTCTGTATCGTTTCAATGATTTAATGTTACTTTCAACTTTAATTCTCTTTTAAACATGTGCAAGTTTGTAAATTTCTTAAAATCTTGTTCAAATAAAATTTTAATGTGAATGACAAATCAGATTTTATTTATTTTAAAACTCCTGAAATAAATAAAATAAATTGAAATAATTATTTATCAGAGTTAAAACAAAGCTATCACGGTAACTTTTAAAAGTGAAAAAACGATCCTGCTTAATTAAACAAGGTCTTTTAGACCTTGGCAGCTTGGTGCCTCCCCAAATTTGAAATAAAAGGGCTATCTCAAAAGCCCAATTAAATAATTTATTTCTGGTTTGTATCAGTGTGTACCAATCTGGAATTTAATTTGACTGGGAAAAACTAATAATTATTTACCATTAACTATTTCATTAGGAAAATATTACTATTTGAATCAGTAAACGACTTTTTCTATCAAATACTATTTTTAACTAATTCAGATTCACAGAACAGTATTTGTCAATTTGTAGTACTTTATGCGTTTATAGTATTTCAATTAATGTATTAAAAATTAATCCTAAATTTCCACCAGCTTTTGGAGTTATGTAGAGTTTACTTCGAACTAATTGTATCGCAAGTAGACCCTACGTTACGACTGATAAAATCTAAAATAAGACCTATATTGTAGGTTGAAAGTAGGGCTTACATTTTGACAAATAAAAATATTACATTATTAAAAATTAAAGGAAAAAGCAATTTTTTTAAAACGAATTAATATAATAAAACTTTTTTTAATTAGATAAGAAAATTCCCGATTTTTCCTGATCGAATTAAATTCCCGACTATTTCTCGGTTTTTCTTCGCGGTTGATAGACACTCTGTTAAATGTATTAGTAGAAACTATAACACGGTTTCGATTCTCACATGTAATTCTACATAGGACCCTATATGAAAACCATGTAAAAGCCCACTTTCATAAAGGAAACCTTATCAGAGCCAGAACAATCATGAAGCACATGAAGCGCGTGCTTCAGGGCCCGTACCCTCCAGGGGCCCGCTGCCGAAGACAACTTAAAAAAATTTGTTAATGATTTTTAAGAAAAATTAGTCATTAGGTGTATTAGAATTGAAGTTAAATGTATTTCAATAAATTTCGCATCGGTTCATTTAAATTTCTTACAAATTAACATTATATTGCGTATGTTACATATTATGTAATACATCTAGGTGTGTATCATTTTGACCCAATTTTTTTTAAAGATTGTTTTATTGTACAATCGGAGATACTGTTATTTTGTACAACTGGTAAAATAAAAATTGTTATTTTTTTTAAATAATAGGTATAACTAAACTTACAGAGTAATATTAAAGAAAATATTTTCGTTTTAGCAGATTCTAAAATAATTTTCTTACATGTTTTATTAGTTCTGGAAAATATATGAATAGAGAATAATATTCTAAAATTGAAATTAATATTTAAATTCATAGTATTAGGTTAGCTTGCAGATAAACAATTTGACAGCTTAACTAATTTGATTGCTTCATATACATATAATAATTTTCTTTAAAAGTTATTCTTACATGAAATATTTTTCATTGAAAATATAATTTTAAGAAAATGAAAAATAAATTAAAACTAAAAAAATTTAAGAATATCTTGTGTGAGCATTTTATGTTAATACCATCATTCAGTATGTTACGTATGACTTCGTAACATTTTTATATTTTAAGTAAAAAAACATATTGTATTTAAATGAACTCAATAAGCATTTATTCATGTCGATTTATGAGGTAACAATCACACTTTTAACACATGATGACACTTTGTAACACACATATTACAACATTCAGTAAGGAATTTTGTATTAAAATCTAAATAATGAAATGAAGATTGTGATACTTTATAATGTGCAAAACTGTGTCAAATATTCTTTAAGAGTAAGTGGAATTTACTTACGATATTTCTCAATGTTAAAAGTGGTTCATCCAAGCAACAGAACTTGGGTAATGACATTCAAACAAATCTGCAAGGTAGCAGATAATCATTAAGTAATAACTTAATAATAAGTAGGTCTTTCCCACCAAAATGTCGTTCAATAAAAAGAATCGACAAAGGGAAATCATGGAAGTTGCCCGTGAATCTTGGTGAAACAAAGTATGTTTGGCCATAGTAGCCGAAGTTAGGCAAAAGTTGCCTTTAAGTCTCACGAAGGGACTCCAGAGATTTTCATTGAGTGATTTAAAAAGAGTAATTGACATAGTATTTTTATATGTGAAAAATATTAAAAAAAGTTAAAAAGATAATAATAAAATAAATCTTGATATAAGGTTCCAGACACTACAACTCAGTTAAAGTGAGTATACTGAATACGCAAACACAAAAAGAACACATACACAATTCATTATCATAAACGATTGTTTTCAATATAAAATAAAAGTTTGTCATTTAATATTATTTTATTGATAATTTTACTTAAAAATTAGATTATCCTATTAATAATTTCATTCCTTTCCAAAATACGGTCTCTCACCCGATTGGTTGAAATGATAACCAAGAATGAAAAGGAATCCACTACCTTTAAATAAAATTATTTGTTTCCTTAGAGCATTGACGTTCACTACGGGGTGAAATAATTTAAATATTTAATATTTATTAAATAATAAATAAATTCATTCTTAACAAATTGGTGGCAGCGGTGGGATTTCTTTTCTTTATTTTAGAGGATTAAAATTTAAAGATAAAAATTGAGTATAACAAACTAACTTTCACTTTACACAAATACTAATTAATAGATCTGATTTTTATCAATGATGTTGAATTTTTATATGTGAAGACTAATATAATTATTGTTTTCAGGAAATTACAATAAATATAGTGCGTGTTTTAAAATTTAAAAATAGTAACCACCCTTGCGACGGCAAGCTCTGGTTCCTTTAATAAATCGGTTGATTTCTCTTATTTAACCTTGCCGGAAGTGTGTAGCCACTTGGGCAAGTGAAGGGATTAACATTTAAAAAAAAATTATTACGGATTCGAACAATTTAAAATATTTTGTTTAGCGATAAAAGAATTTAAAAATAAAATAAAGTGTTTGTCAACACATTTATTTCCTTACGTTTCTTATATGCAGAAATTGGAGGTAGCACAGAAGATATTTAATAAGTTAACGGAAAATGTAGTGTAGAAATTATTTAAAATAAAACACAATATTTTTAACGCGTTAATATTGTGGGAATAAAATATTAGAATTGCGCAAAATGAAGCTGCAGATTTATAAAATAGAGATTCGCGGAAAATAAAAATTAGATATAATTTAAGAACAATATTTTCACAGATACAAGGAGTTGTATCTAGCTTATAATACTTTGGGTTAAAATAAAAACAGAGCCTCTTTTTTTTGTAAGTTAGACTGTTATCTATAAGATTTCAAGTTTTTATTATAATACAAATTAACTGAAATAAATTTGGTCAGTATTAAGAACTTTAAGCAAGGTGTCGAAATATGAAACGGGGTTAGGTTACAGCACAAAGCCGAGCGTACGCGAGTAGTAAGCATCAATGAAATTTCGCAAGACCGAATATTGTGTGTAGTATTTTCTTTAAAAGAGAAATATCAGCTTGATATTGTTTTGTAAGAATTATAAATCGAAATTATACATGAAAACGATTTTAAAGGTAGCCTTGAAAAATAAATTCCGAGTTAACAAAATAAGGGAATAAGAAGTGACAGATTTAAAAAAAAACAATATTTATCTAAATAAATTAGACTATCGATTTAATGACATTGAGAAATAATATTAAAAGTAAAATTTTCTTTTAAATTTTTGTTTGTTCCTCATGAAATATTATTTTAAAAAAATAATATTATTTTATTTGGTTAAAAAAAACCTCCCCAAAAGTACAGAAGTGTGATTCAATATATTTTTAATTTATTAAAGATTTATTGTACCATTCATACGCTCAACTTTTAAGTACGCTTAGAATTTATTTCTTCAAGCGAAAATAAAAGTTTTTGTAGCATTGAATATTCTGTAATTTTGTATTTGAATGAATCTGTTCAATATTATTTAAATATAAAATTTTAATTAATATTGAATTAAATCATACATCTCACAACGGACCACAGTCTCCCCGTTCCGTTGTTTAGCAGAGTTTGATGTTCATTATACCTATACCTATACCAGAATTTGGTTTATCTACCTCCCCAAAATTACGGAAGTGAGAATCAATACATTTTTAAATTTTATTTAAAAACATATTGTGCCATTCATAAGCTCAACTTTTACGTACGCTTAGAATTTTATTTCTTTAAGCGAAACTAAAAGTTTTTGTAGCATTGAGTATTCTATAATTTTGTTTAAAACGAATCAATTCAATATTAATTAAACATAAAAGTCCAATTAATATTGAAATAAGTCATACATCTCACAACGGACCATAGTCTCCCCGTACCGTTGTTAGTAGAGTTTGACATTCGTTCCCATATGCCTAAACAAGAAGCATTTATTACGTTTAAACAGAAATTTGTTCAAGTGGAAGAAGTTTAGAAGTAAAATTAAATTAAAAAAAAAAATATTGTAAATTGAGGGATTTTATATCAATATTAATAAAAGAAATATGTCACTAAGGAAGTGGATTAAATTAAATATTTACAATATAAAAGATACCTAAGAATGTCGTAATACGGTACGGCATCATGTTGCAGACACAAAGCCATTTTTACGCAAAATGGGCAGGAATGAATTTTTTTAGTACAGATAGTTTGACATTCATTTCTTAGAAATTAATTTAATAATTTCTCAAATTTGTGATTTTTACTAGATTTGCGCAAGACGACATAAAAAAAATAAAAACCTGTGAATGATTACAGTCAAACATTTATTTTTTAAGCAAACACTTATAATTCAACGTTATCGCGGGAAAATGTGAAAAAATAAAAAATATAGTGCTATTTTTTTATTTTTTTAATACTCTCTAAATATGAATTAACGAAATTCCACTAATTTCCCAGCGATAAGTATATCACTGATTCAATTAGCGTATATACGCTAACTAATCAGTGAAATTTCACTAATTCACAGCGTATATACGCTAATTGAATCAGTGATATACTTATCGCTGGGAAATTAGTGGAATTTCGCTAATTCAGATTTAGAGAGTAGGAATACTAAAAAATAATATCGTGAAAAATTAGTGTAAACTTTCAAGATGAATGGTTATTAGGTTACAATATCAAGACAATGCATATTTTGAACGCTAAAATAATTAAAAACGAAGTACAGATGCGTTAAAAAAAATGAAGAAACGAATTATTTACTATTCATCTATTATATTTAAATTATATAGAATGAACAATGTCATTGTACTCAAAATTGTTACTTAGTGGTGACATAGAAAGATGGAAATCGGAAGGATGAAATTTTAAAATAAGGGATCGTAAATATGTTTACGAAAATGGAGAGTATGAAAAGCAACATCAAGACAACCATAACCTGGGAAAAGAGGATCATAGAAAGAAAGAAAATTGTTATGAACAATATTTTGATGATTTTAAAGAGCAGGCTGATTACGAGAATCAATATTATTGCCAAACTGAAAACAAACAATTTAATGAGTATGAACAAGTTACACCCAATAGTTACAAACAACCATGGAACAACCAACGGCGAAAAAGAAATCAACGACAGAGTCAACGATTCAATAGCAGAATCTATAGTAATAACGGTATCAACAACCAAAATATAAACATGAATTTCAGAAAAAATTATCAAACTATGACATCACAGGGATACGAAAAAGGAAATTTCTATAACAGCGATAGGAATTTTGAAGAGTATAACATCGATTCAAGAAATTTACAATATAGATTTGCGGAAGAAGAACAAGAATTTAATGTCAGAAATGAATACAGAAGATACAACGATATACAAGATGATTATAGAATAGAGCGGCAGAAGGATTATGAATATACTAATTACGAAGAATCGTATATAAATTGGGAGGAACCATCTTTTAAAAATAATTATTTCGAAGTAAATAATTTTGTAGAAAATAGATCTAAATTTGAAAGAATACATGATTATGATTTCGTAACACCACCAATTCGTTTTAAAGATTCGTCCACAAACCAAAACTCTTTAAAGGATGAAAAACAATCTGATTATAATGTCTCACCCTCTGTAAATGAACCACAACTTGAAACAGAAAGCGAAAGATCAAGCGAAGAAGAAGAAAACATTAGTATTATTAACATCAATAATACAAAAAATCTGAAAGAAGAAAGAACTCAAGAGCAATTACGCAGCAAAAATGAAGAAGGAAGAAAATTAGAAGAATTTAGGGATGCAACAATAAATCAAAATGCCAAACATCCAATAGAAATGTCACATAAAGACGAAAATCCTGCAAGGAATATGACAATTTCTTCTGTCACGAGTGTAAATCAAGAGATATTAGAAGAGATCCAAACTTTGAACAGAAAATCTGTCAACTTTGTATCAATAATTCAAGATTATTCTGAGGAAAAACAGCTACTAATAATAAATGAAGACAATGAGACAGAGAATGTACCAGATGGATTTACAATTGAAATGAAAAGTAATAAACTGGACACGGAAAGTAATGAAAAGATGACGACATTAAACAGTGCCACTCAGCAAAATTTGCGTTTACCAGGGTCAATGTCATTCGTATGGGAAGTCAATTTAGTAAAACCGAAATTAAAAGTAGTTAATAAAAGAAAATGGGTTCATAAAATCCAAAAAGAAAGGTCAAATGTGAAAGGTCATTTGAAACAAAAAATAAATGCGTTTTATTTTGAGGAAAATAAAAAATTACGAGACAAAACATGGAGGGAACTAGAAACAAGAGTTAAATCAGAGAGGTTAGGAATAGGTTAGACATAGGTAAACTTAAGCAGGGGGAACATAATGTAATTTTAAGCATGAAATATTTTTAACAATCTGCTTAAGTAAAATATTAAATTTACTATTAAAAAAAACCTCATAAGCTAAATGTAAAATAATCATGAATTTTTTAAGATTATAATTCTTTTGTTATTCTGTTGAAAAATTTTCTATATTCTATTTTATTCTCGTCTAAAGTAGACAAAGTAAAATTAAAATTGAGAACATTAAATGACATCTAATTCAATATATAACAAGGGAAAAAATAGGATATAAAGTTAATAGTATAATAAATTAAACAAAAGACTAAAAATTTGTTAATACTTTTCTTGAAAGAAAAAGTTAATCCAAGAAAGAATAAGTAATGAGTTAAATACTAACATAGTACAAATTGCTATACTAATTTGGAATAATATTGCATAATCACTTGCTAACAAATAAAGTTTGTCCAAAGCACTAGAATATTAAAGAAACAAATTTTTTTATATAACAAGTTTTAAAATAATGGTTTTCTCTAAATACAGGAAACCTAAAAAAAACACCTTTGCTAACAATAGGTACTCAGAAAAATTTAATTAAAAATAAATAATTACCTGATTAAAATGTTTATTTTTCTACAATTATGTATAAAAATCAACAAAAAGTTATAATATTGTTTTAAACATTTGTATATATGGTTTTTTTTATTAATATTAACAAAATTAACCAAAAGTTTATTCGAGATGAATTTCAAAATACCAATACTATACTATTCTATAAAAAATAAGTATATTATTAATTAAAATATTTTTTAAATATTATATTTCATTAATATGCTCTGATTAAATTATGCTAAATCGTAATTTTTAAATAATTCTATTTTTCTCATAACAGCTTAAAAATGGATTAAATAATATTAAAAGGATTGCTTTAAATTTTCAGCATAAATAAAACTATTGTATATTATCAATAACATAAATTAACAAGTTTAACAGTATTAATTTATAAACTTTAATATTAAATCAAATTATTTTTCTAAAAAAAAAAAATTTATTTATTTTTATTTTTTTTTCTTGTTGAAAACTAAAAAAAAAAATTTTTTTAATGCCGTTTTGTACTTGTATCTAATAAAAACGGAAAACTTACTAAAATAAAATTTTTTCTAAAGCAAATTTATTCAAGACAGCTAAGAAAACAAAACTTTTATTCTGCAAACAATAGATTTAAACAATTAAACTAAAACGTAAACGGTATAATGTAAAAAAAAACAATTTTAAAAATTTATTTTCTTATTTAACTAATTTTTTGTAGTATTTCTACAAATTCAGGCACATTTAAATTCTATAAAGACTTAAACATTAAAATAAAAATATATCTTGTCAAAATTTAAAATTCATTCTCTATGTAAAGCTAGTAATGAACGACAGCGCATGAAACAGAGGGAATGAAGTTTTTAAAAAAATGTAATAAAGAAACAGTGTTAGACAATAATTCAACATTATTTCTTTAAATTTTTGCATTCTGTGGAATTAAAGGAACAAATTTTATATCTTTCAATTTGGTTTGCATCTTGTTCGATACATCTTACTAAACTTTATGAACAAAATAATGTTAATCTAAGACCAAATATATTTTTTCTCAAAATTATAATAAATTCAAATTTTTCTAGCTATGTTATGATATAATAATTCAATGTATACAAAAATTTGCGATTATTTTGATTACGTTTTTAATATCAGAATTATTACTTACAAAATTTAGAAGGAAATAGTAACGGAATTTAGATTTCATTTTATTATGAAAATACAAAAAAAATATCCTAATGTTAGAAAAAAAAATAATTTTCTTTTGGTAAAACAACCTTATAAAATCACTACGAATTATAATTTTTCCTAACGAATAAGCAAATCTTGTAAAATAGCAACAAACATTGTAAGCAAAATATTTGTTGAGTTGAAAAAAATTATATTAGAATTAAATTTAAATATTGTAAAGTTAGGTTATTAAGTTTGTTCAAAGAATAATTTTCATATGTATTCTTCGTTTAAAATTAATAGAAATTGTGTATTTATATACGATTAAAAAAAAATTTAAACAGATGAAATTAAACGTTAACTAAAATTATAAAAACCATAAACATTGCCATTAAAATAAAAAAAAGGTCATTTATCTAGAAATAAAACAAAAGTTTCATTTGATAAAATACAATAAAATTAAATTTAAAAAAGGAAACATTTTTTTCTACGCTGCATGTCTAAAAAGTTAAAAATTTTAAATCTAAAAAATGTATTAAATACAAACAAACAATGTGCAAATCAATAACAAAACTTTCTACCGCTGTAAACTAATTCAATAAAATAAAAAAATAAAAGCAAACTAAGATACTTAAAAATCTTCCTAAAACAAAAAAAAGAGGAAACGAGTTTTTTTTTAAACAAAAAGTTTGCCTTTATTTAAAAGAATCATTTCCAATGTTAACATAAAACAACGAAAATATTTATATTGTAAAAAAAAGGCTGTCAAGGGACGTCAGCCTAATAAAAAGGGGGCAGTAACAACAATTTTGTTGTCATGTCCTATACATAAAAATTTTTCTCTGATCTTAATATAAAAAAAATCAATTAAATAAGCATCCACGGGTTTATTTTCTCGCATGTTATAAAATTAGCAAACTACAAAAAGCACTATCAAAATATCAATTATTGAAAATCACTGATATCAGAGAAAGATTTTTTTTTAAAATAAAATACTTATCTTACAGACATTTATGTAAAAATTATATCAAGAACATATTATTTTGTAAAACTCAAAAGAGTTAAATACCATTACAAGAAAGAAGGATACATCAGGACCACGGCATAACCACACACAGTTTTCTTAGCAGCTGATAAGGGACGTCAGCCTAATAAAAGGGGGGCATTTGTTACGTATGACTTCGTAACATTTTTATATTTTTAGTAAAAAAACATATTGTATTTAAATGAACTCAATAAGCATTTATTCATGTCGATTTATGGGGTAACAATCACACTTTTAACACATGATGACACTTTGTAACACACATATTACAACATTCAGTAAGGAATTTTGTATTAAGATCTAAATAATGAAATGAAGATTGTGATACTTTATAATATGCAAAACTGTGTCAAATATTCTTTAAGAGTAAGTAGAATTTACTTACGATATTTCTCAATGTAAAAAGTGGTTCATCCAAGCAACAGAACTTGGGTAATGACATTCAAACAAATCTGCAAGGTAGCAGATAATCATTAAGTAATAACTTAATAATAAGTAGGTCTTTCCCACCAAAATGTCGTTCAATAAAAAGAATCGACAAAGGGAAATCATGGCAGTTGCCCGTGAATCTTGGCGAAACAAAGTATGTTTGGCCATAGTAGCCGAAGTTAGGCAAAAGTTGCCTTTAAGTCTCACGAAGGGACTCCAGAGATTTTCAATGAGTGATTTAAAAAGAGTAATTGACACAGTATTTTTATATGTGAAAAATATTAAAAAAAGTTAAAAAGATAATAATAAAATAAATCTTGATATAAGGTTCCAGACACTACAACTCAGTTAAAGTGAGTATACTGAATACGCAAACACAAAAAGAACACATACACAATTCATTATCATAAACGATTGTTTTCAATATAAAATAAAAGTTTGTCATTTAATATTATTTTATTGATGATTTTACTTAAAAATTAGATTATCCTATTAATAATTTCATTCCTTTCCAAAATACGGTCTCTCACCCGATTGGTTGAAATGATAACCAAGAATGAAAAGGAATCCACTACCTTTAAATAAAATTATTTGTTTCCTTAGAGCATTGACGTTCACTACGGGGTGAAATAATTTAAATATTTAATATTTATTAAATAATAAATAAATTCATTCTTAACACAGTATATAAAGTTAAATTTAATTGGAATAAAAAGTAATAAATTTATCAACACTCTATTTAAGAAATTTTTTGTCTGTTACAAAAAGCCAAATGTGGTGGTTGTGGATGTAAATAAATAATTTGAATTAAGGTACACTACCGTCCGTGAGTATCAGGACGCCCCTTTTTTCATAAGTGGAAAAATGCTTAAAACGTAGAAAATAAGAATGACAAAAATTTTTCGTATTTTTTTCCTGAAAGCTAATGAAATTATGAATAGACTGACACTTGATCGAAGAATTTTCGTTGACTATTGTGTCAGATTGGGTGACTTCATTTAAAAGGGAATATTGCTGTCCCCACTCCAAAAATTGACTTGTAGGCTTGTTTTTGCCAATATGAAGTTTTTTCGCGGTAGTTAGTGATGTAATAAATTTATTCTCCAAGTTTGATACCAATTGACAAAATAGAAAACGAGATAACCCATTAGAAACTGGCAAAAATAGGCAGAAATGTCATTACTGTCCCTGTCCCTGGGCTACTTCTGTAAGTTTCAAACGTTCATACTGTTCTCACATGTTCACTGCAGCTTGAAAAAAAATTCTGATGGCTTTGTCTACCCTCTAGTCTGATAATTCGAAGTATTTTGACAAAATTTTTCAATTTTTGTACGCAAATAAAAATCCCGAACAGATGTCCCTCGCTTTCTAAATTTCATCTTGGAAAAAACATGTTTACCTTTGAAGTCTCTTTACAATTTTTTAATCTCACGTATTGGTTTCAGAGTTAAATTTTCTAAAATATTGATTTATAATTTCGAATATAAAAAAATGGGCTCCCTTCGGTTTACTGTTATAATTTGACAGACAGGCAGAAAAATCGGCAGAATATTTCAACTTTTTTTGTCATTGCTGTC